TTGACTGGTCGATACAATGAGTGATCTGTGTAACGGAGAGTGAAAATCATATCTATATTTGGACGTTTCCTCCTGTTATCCCGGGTATTATTACTAAATATCCCGTGACATTGATATAGTGAACGGGATATTTGTAAGTAAAAATCTTATTTTCTTTTAAATATACCAATATCCCCTCAAAAAAAAAATGCTTCTTTGTAAAAGCCAGTAATTTTTATTCAACTTATCATTCATAAAAAATTTGGAAAACTTCAATGGTAAAAAAGAAAGGCTGGTATGAATGTCCAAGCCACTATAAATAAATATTACGAAAACATTATGGTAGAGGCATATAACATGTGTAGCTACAGCAAATATATCAACAAATTTTAAATATATATTTATCTACTTCTTTAAACTAATTAATTTATAATTTAACAAAAAATTTAATTTCTCTTAAAAAAAATTTAAAATTAATATTTTAACTATATATCATAAATAAGTTTTTTAACACTTAAAATATTTAAAACCAATAAGATTAATGATTTTTTTTTTTTTTTAACAACTATGGTGTTTCTCATCAAATGCACCAAATTTGGCCAAATATATTTGGATGCGCCAAATTCAGATTAGGTATATAAATTTTCAATAAAAATCGGGAGATTCCGATATAGAAAGAACCGTGAGCTGGCAAGATAAATTTTATAAAGGTTGTAAAATTTATGCATATTTTTAAAAAATCGCAGAATAGACTTGTTAATCTGCATCGTGTTATGCCTGATGTTACACTTGCTTAAATTACCTAAAATTACCCGGCACGACATATATTATGAATATGATGTAAAAATTATATATCTGATATAGTAACATGGCGCCAATTTTATAAATTACGTAGTAAGTTGTGTAAATTTTAATTATATAGCAATTTATAACTTTGAAGTTCAGACTTTAAAAAAAGTTCAACCGATAAATATAGTAGAGTTGGTTAAAAATAATAGTTATTATTAGTTATAGGATTTTAAAAGTGTAGACATAATTGGTCTCACCTTAAATATTTTTTTAAAAAAAAAAAAAAAGTGTAGACACAATTTGATGATAAGTGACTTGGAGCACCATATAAATTATAATTTTCTTATTTATATCTTTTTTCTTATAAAACATTTTATCAATTATCTTTATATATATACTGTATATGCTTTAATTTTTTTTTCTCTCTTTATTACTTTATTTTAATTCTAGTGCAGTAATAGTAATTAACAAGAAAATTAACATACTGTAGCTTATAATAAATTAGTTTATATATATATAGAGAATTTAATTATATTAAATAGCTTTTAGCTATATACTATAAATATTTGAAAAATAAATTTTTATGCTTTACGTATCAATGCAAATTTAAAACATTTGACTTTTAGTATGTGTTTTAGATGGTTCTACCACAAAATCCCGAAAGAACATAATACCGACTAAATTGGCCAGCATTATAACTAATGCCGGCTAACTTTGTCGGTATTGGGTCCTTTCGGGATTTGTGGTAAACCCGTTTTAGATTAGTTTTTTGTCTTAAAGTTAATTAGTAAATTCGTGACGTAGGTTAAGAATGACACATTTCGTATATAATTAAATATAATTGTATAAACACGATAATTTTTATATCACTAAAGCAAACAAAAAGTTTTTTTTCCTTGAATACTATATTAATTGCTTATATTATTCAGTAACAAGAAACAAGCTTGCCAAATAACTTATTTATCTGGCTGCGTCATTTCTGGGCCCAGAAGCTGACATTAAATTTCACAAATAATTCCGTTATTGGCTGCTTCGCATCCAATAACTCTATATTATTCCATAAGCTGAAATTGTAAAACTCATTGAATAACTTACAATTGCTATACGTCACTTAAGAATTTATGTTAATTCAAAATTCATTTTGGAATCAGAATTTGACATATGTTATATCATGATCGGTATAAAATATCTTTACGATACCGATTACGTTTGGTAATCAATATTTTTTTTTTGGTATTTTCTCGTTAATTAAAAGATTCAACCAATGACAATCTTTGATAGTACAGTATTGCTAGAGTGACAATGTATAAGAATCAATAATACGCAATAATTTAATCGTTCCAAATTTTGCTATTTCGCAATATCAAAAAGATGAAAATGTTAATCGAATAATGGTTTTAATTTATTTGCAGAGTACCATTTACCTAAAATCCACATCAACCATTGAGAATTAACAAAAAGTTTTTAAATCAAAAATATTACCGTTAGCTATGCTTTTTCTTGATGGGTTTGGGTCAAAATCCCGACAGGTCATAATCCCGACAATCGAAAAAAGTTTCTTTGAGCAATTTTACTATATAATCGCCCAAATCCTAACCCTAACCTAACTTAAATGAACTTAATAATTTTGGGGATTTTTTTGTCGGGATTATGACCTATCGGGGTTCTGTTTGTCGAGATTTTAACCGGCACCCTTTCTGGACCGCTAAGTTCCGTATCCCGATGGGCTTGACAAATTACGGACCGCGATTATGATTTTCAGGTTTAATATTTAGCCCTTCAATATTTTCAACTTTTAACTACCGTAAATGAATATTGAACTTCGGATTTCATGTGTGCTTGTAGGCAGACTATGTCCATTAAAAATAAATTTGTCAATGGGTCTCAAAGGATCAATACCATAATCCATTGATCCATTGGCTAAAAAATTTCATCGATAATACTATTATTGAAGTCTTTGAGTGCTCCCAAGAATCTCTCTCAATGTGATTAGCTTATTATCAAAGTCGTGAACAAATACTACAATTATTTGGAATACTGTAATCCTTACGATTATTTTGCTAAAGATTCATGTCACGAAATGCGGATATTAAATTTTAACCAATTAGCACAACGTTATTATACAAAAAGATGGTCTCAGCCATCTTTTTTTTCATCGCAAACAAACTCACTTGACCGGATAAACTATATTCCACTAATTAAAAACTGTGCCAGGCCTATTAATTTAGGTGCTTGAGAGCACACTTTAGATAATGTTTTAGCATAATCACTTTATTAAACATTATTGCGAAATCTACTTAATATATACAGGTGAGTGAAAAGTCCGTGAATGAAGTTTTTTACTATTTACACTAGTATTAAAAGCTTTTTATAAATCTATTTACTTGAGTTGTGGGCAGGATCTTTTTTTTGATAAAAAGTTTTTAATGTTAGTGAAGATAGTAAAAAAGATCTTACTCGGGGACTTTTAACCCACTTGATATATAATATATACAGTATATATATAGTTATTTATAAAAGCCACTGTATTTTTCGCGAAATAATGCGCAGGGGTGTAATTTAAAATTTGAGCCTAGATTAAGCTTAATTCGAACCATTATTAGAATAGCACTAATGAGCGTTATTTATTTAACCTATTTGTCCATTGGAGTTAGTGACCATTCAATGGAACCAATGGACAAATGTGCCAAACCTGCTTGTAGGATTTCGCAAAATGGTTAACAACGATTATATTTTGAATTATTCATAATATGTCTTCCATTTTTCGACTACTCATATAATTATTAACTATTGTATCAGAAGTTGAGGTGAAAAAAATTGAAAAATTAGCAATTATTTGAAGTCATATTGGACGAGAGAGATAATTAAAATTGAAATTTAATTTTACTTTTATATTTTCTTTACACAAACAATATTTAAATCAGTGCGTATTCCAATCGGTATAAATTCTAAAATGTTGCGTTGATTTAAAATCAACAGAAATCGTGGATTGTGTATAACATAATTACACTGACTCTTTATTTCAATTTGTATCGAAACTAGAGATCACGTATGGTATGTAAAACATGCAATTAATTCTAACCAGCACTAAGAAATCAAATCATAATTTTGGAAAGTATGCATGCAATTTTATATTTTGCCTATCTCTAATCAAAACCAAACTTTTTTTATCAATTTTAAATCGAATAAAATTAATAAAATTTAAATGAACTTTGAATTATAAGAGAATTCAGTTACTACTACTATACTTTTCAAAAACGCCTAACTTAGTTTTAACCGAAAAATTCAACATTTCTAAATCACTTTTTTTTTTTAAAGTCATTAAAAGTATCAAGAAGCAATAAAGAAAGGTTATCTTCCTCATCTGGTTGGTGTGCCTCAGGGGTGAACCTAGGATTTGCCAGTAATAAGATGAAAAAAAAAGTAAGAACAAGAGAAAAGGCATAACGATCTTTGCTAAAAAGGAAGATACATGTTTCTGGTGCAAAGAGAGGATTGTGGAAAGAGCGTGTGCGAACGATGTGGAATCAAACCTACGCGTATTATTATCAGTTTTCTTATCCGAATTCAAACGAATGATCATGTGGATATGCCGTCAAAATTAAATTTGCATGAAATAAAATTATTGGAATCAATCATAGTGTGAGTCGTAAGTGTAAAGAATATTTTATATCAGAGTACAACAAATATTTAGGTTGATAATTTGTAGTTTGATTTGTTTTCTTTATTTATTTTTAAAATGTTTATATGAAATAAAATTACACTCAAGAAAATGTAGAATGATATAATAAAAACTGAGTGTAAAAACATATTTTGAAATCATGTAAAAAATTATCTTTGTTAATGAGTAAGAAAGTACCACAATCTACGGTACTCGTTAACCCTATTGTTCACATGATACGAGATTATTTTAATTTCTTTTTGTACAGGAGGGGCTTCGGTAATAATCTTGGCGAGACTTTCGCGTTCATGTGAAAAACATGCGCTTCTTACGAGTGTGTTTAAAATGTCGATGTAATCATTTTTTGCTGTCAAGGTAAGTTCAGATGTCTGTTCGGACGTGTATTTAAGCTTCTTTCTTGGTGTCAAATTGTTTTCATCAGGATATGTTCTTTTTTGAATATTGAAAAATGACATTTTTTTTAATCTAATCAATATAGATAGAAGGAAACAAATGTGAACTAAAATTAGAAAACGGAGCAACGGAGAAAAGCATGATAGAAGTTTGTTTTAATTGGTTGTTGATCTAGATCATCAGGTTAAATTTGATTTGCTGGTAGATAATGCATTATAATATTTGTCATATTAAAATCCTTTTTTTAGATAGTTTGCAATCTCAGTTGATTGTATGACCAGTGAATATTTTTATACAAGTACTGTACGTTCATCAAGTTCTGAAGCGTCGTTTATACCTTTCAGATCTTTATAAATTAGTTATTTTAGCCATACACAACCTTTTGTCATTAGGTGACGTGAAGAATAACAAACGAAACATTCAATAAAACCAACCTTTTAGCCTTTATATGAGATAAACAAGCAATAAATACTAAAAAAAACAACTACACTAAGTGTAAAAGAAAGCACTATCACTAGTTGTTGAAGCGTTCGGGTATATTCGATTAGTCAACCAATCGATTAACTAACTAGTCGATTAATCAGTTAATCGATTAATCATCAACAATCAATTAGTTGTCTAATAAAATTATCAATCGATTAGTTGCCAATTCGATTAATTAATCGATTAATTGATTTTCGATTTGGAGCACTACTCTAAAGTAGTTATTTAGAATAGTGTTCATATGAACCTGAACCGAACCGAACTTAGGGTAAGTTCAGGTTCAGTTCAAAATTTGAACCGACAAAAAATAGTTCAAGTTCGATACTGAACTTTTAGCATGTGTTCAGTTCAGGTTCAAGTTCAGTTCGAAAGTTCATGGATTTGTTCGGGAGTTCGGGTTGGACAATTCATAGCATTGCCTCCAGAAAAATTATAGCGAATTTTTTTTTGACTTAGACTTTTGTTTTGACTTCACTCATCTAAGTTGAAAGTTGACACGAATAAAATAAAGGTTATCGGTCCTAATATACAGGTTGAATCAATGAATATCGGGTGCATACCGGGAGAAAAGTTTCCGATATGTACCCGTTAGTCTGCCATAGATCCTGCTGAATATCAGCAGCATATTGGTAAGATATCGGGAGGTAGATCAATATCAGCAATATAACAGCAAAATATTGGGATACCCTCGATATCTTACTTTTAGGTCCAGAGTGCTAAGAGTAAGATATCAGGTATCCCAGTTATGTTATCGATATCGATCTACCTTCCGATATCTTACAAATGTGCTGCCAATATGCTGCTGATATTCAGCAGGCATTTGGCGGATCTATGAAGACTAACAGGTACATATCGGGAAACTTTTCTCCTGGTATGCACCCGATATTCATTGATTCAACCTGTGATAGTTAGCGTAAAATTATTGTCCGAAGGACATTACGGGAGAGTCATTCATAGGAGGACATTCGTCTGATTGGCTGATGTAAATCAATTGCCCGGGTAACTTATTTATACACTTTAAAGTACTTTTTGGGAACACAACGTTTCACTAATAAAAAATCCATTTTTCGCTTCGATAGAACGTTTATATTCACTATGCAAAAATAATCAGTAATAATCAGTATCCCCGCGAACTTTACTTAGAAGGCAAAATATGCCTACCGCTTATTGGACCATATCAAACTATACTGTAGAGTGAAGGTAACCAGAAATGTTTTCGTCTAAAACTATTTTATTACATTAGATTTAAATAAGCTTTTATTTCTAACTGTTTAATTTGAATAGGTACAAGCTCTTTAACAAGAAGATCGGGCTTAATATTTAATTTTGGTGGTTCTTGTAGTGTGTTTGAGCTTGTTAACGTAAATTAGTTAAAGTTTTAATAGTTTTAATTTTATCTTATATGGTATATTCTTTAATAGTTTGGGTTATTGGCCATTCTCTATATTAATGATAAGTTCTTTCGCGTGCATTTATTAGTTTGTAAGCTTTTTTATATGAAGTTTCTTTCATTTTCTAATATCGTAGTATTAATTAAAAATTATGTATTTGATTGGTTAATTAACACGGAAGATCACGGGTAGATCTACAAAATTAACCAATCATAGCCTAGCGGGCTTTAATTTTGATTGGATGATCGGATGAAATGTTACACAATATGTTCACATATTAGAGTAACGTTTCGCAGGCACAAAAGTGGATTGTAGACAATGAGTACGAATTGTAGAAGGTTAAGACAAAAAAAATTTAAAAGTAGAAGCTTCGTTTTATATAATATTAAAATAATTCGGTAATCTACGAAGTAATTCAGAAGTTAGATGAGAGGTATGTTTAGATGCTTAAGTTTAGCCTACATATACAATAGTCAATTAAACTCGGCAATTTAAGCTGCCTTTTATTTGTGAAATCTTATTCT